CAAGCCCTTAACTCTTTTTTCTTTTAGGTCATTGTAGATCATTCCTATACAGTTGTAAACAGTAATACCACATGATCCTGACCTTGATCTTGTCCAGTAGTGACATTTTTGCAAAACTGTAGCATATCAACCAAGAAACCCAATGACACAATCCTCAAATCTTAGTAAGATTTCACAAGGCTTACATGGACTGGTATGTGTGTATTTGTGTGGAACATTTAGTTACAAGCAATTTTCCACATGTGTTGGACATGTATACACACAGTAGTCAAGGTATAGATGGGTTACATCATTGTAAAAATCCCTTGTATTGTCCTTAAAGGAACATCTTCCCCTCTGTCACTCCGTTTACCTTTATTTTTAATTAGCATACAAAGCAATAAGTTTTGTTACGGCATTTTCAAATATACTTAATTTTGGTTGAACCCCCACTCTCTCCCTTCCCCCACCATCCTGACCATCTCTGTGTCCACTGTTATGTCAAACATTTTCTGTTACCCTCCTCATCTCCTTCCGTTAAGCCTTTTTTGTCCCTCTGTCACAGAACTCTTTCTAGTTTCCTGTCCTCCACATATGCTCACTCCCACATAAATACACTTATATAAACATTAGAAGCTAAGATCTGCAGATGATGAGAATGTGTGTTTGTTTTTCTGAGCCTGGGCTAACTCAATGTATTTCCTAATTTTATCCATTTGCTTGTAAATTTCATTGTTCTTCACTGCTGATAAAATTCCATTGTATACATGTACCGTATTTGGTTATTCATTCTTCAGTTGGTGGACATCTGTTCCATTTCCTTGATAACTGGGTCATATGCTAGCTCCTATTTTTTTTTGAGACACCCGCCACACAGATTTCCATAGTGGCCACACAAGTTTACATTCCCATCAGCAGTGACTAAGGGTTCCTCCTTCCCCACAGCCTCACCAGCATTTGTTGTCATTTATTTTCTTGATGATAGGCATTTTTTTTGAGACAAAATCTCATGAGGTAACCCAGACTATCCTTGAATCCATGAACTCTTTGCTTCTGCCTTCCAAATACAAGAATTGTATGCGTGCTTAAAATTTTTTTTAGAATGTTGTTTTTATTTTGGAATCTCTCTCCTTCTCTCTCTCTCTGCCTCTGTCTCTATCTCTCTCTGTCTCTCT